GCATGCTTTTGATTTGGCCCTTCGCGCTAGTTTAGAGCGCATTGTTACCGCGTCTGGTCCCGGGTTTGGTGACTGGCAGTGGCGGCTTGCCACCTTGCCTTTTTCGTTTGCAGGCCTGGGTGTCTATTGTGCTGGGGACGTGGTAAATTATGCATTTCTGGCGTCCAGGCTTCAGTCTGCAGGGTTACAGGATAAGCTTCTTCTTCCTTCTAGAAAACTATTATAAATAATAATAATAATAATAATAATAATAATAATAATAATAATAATAATAATAATAATAATAATAATAATAATAATAATGTTTTTACTTGAATAAAACTAAACATTCATACATCTCTATCTATTAAAAAAAATGATTATAAATAACATGTGAATTTTTTAGTAAAAAATCTGTTATCAAATAGAAAATTTTTTAATCACTACTTTTTAGTTTTCTAAATAGTTCCTAACCTTTAATTCCAAGACATATAATAAGCAAAACACTCTTGTAAACAAGGTTGACCCGACTGGTGCCAAGTCGACCGTGTCAAAGTCGAATTGATCGGGTTTTTTATGTAGAGATATATAGAAAATAATATACATTAGCCTACTTATATTCTCTATTATAACTAAATATATGTAGAAAATAGAAGTTAAATGTAATGAAGAAAATAAAGGACAAGTCAGATATATAGAAAATAATATACATTAGCCTACTTATATTCTCTATCATAACTAAATATTGAGAAGTTAAATGTAATGAATAAAATAAAGGACTAAGTCACCATAAAGGATATGAACCAAACAAAATGAGAGATGAAAATAAATGTAAGATAAATTATATCTATCTATATAAATATAAAAAATGTTTGGCATTTTTACCTATAATAGCAACTAAAATCTCGCCTAAATAAGTCATTTTTTCCTTTATTAGTATTTTTTTTTTTTTATAATTGGCAGTCATAGTTGAAATTCGAATTGAAACAGTCGATAAAATCTGTGCTAAATTGAATTGGTCAATAGTTGCGGCTTAATGTGTATAATTGCGGCAACTGTATATTTTTTGGTACAGGGACCTTCCGGTTTTCGGATCAACATGGGAGCCGACTAATCCGGAATCGAGCCGGGTAGGACCACAAGGGCGGCAAAGCTCTCCCTCAAGAGTTTTAACACTGCGGCAACTGTATATTGTTTCAATTGTGTGTGATTGTATGTGATATTATTTATACAAACCAAAAGGTAAATAAATAAACTAATATTACATGCATCTGATATGGCATTTACAAAAGAAGTTAAATAAGTAAATGTAATTGCTATAGATAATAATCTGGTCAATCAAAACAAAATATCTTCCCATCTTCGAAATTTCATTTTCCTTGCAGTAGTAGAACCAAAATCTACAATATTTTATCACAATAAAAAACTTGTAGATTAATATCAATAACAACTTGACTTGGCATAAATATCTATTACATTACATTAGCAAATAAACAATGGCGTTTCATTTCCTTTGTTTTTCAGCGTTTTGAGCAAAACGCTAATTCAGCGGGTTTGACCAAAAAAAAAAAAAAAAACCTAAATGGGGTATTTAGTGATGTTTGGTAGACAACTGTTGAAGCCAGCGGAATGGGATGAAACGCCAAAAATCAAAATGCTCCATTTTGCAGCGTCTTGGATCAACTTTTTTTTTTTTTGGTGTACAATTTTGAATCAGCTTTCAAATAAAAAGGTACTATAAATAAATACATAGATAAATCAATTTGCTAATACAAGAAAATTTGTCCAATGTATTTAAAAAAAATTGTGAATTATTAAAATATTTTATAAAATATAATTTTAATAGAAATAAATACTTAAAATATAATAAATACTAGCAACTTTTAACGTAACCAACTACTAGTAAACAACTAATTTTACCCAAAAAAACAGACACATCTAGTTTATAATATGCAGTTTTGTGTATTATTATACAGGGGGAAATATATAGCTAATAGAAATTAACTAATATTATTTGAATTTGATCTTCTAAAATCAGTTCTTGTATAATTCTTAATATATATTTTAATAATAATAATAGTTATTATTATTATTATATTAACACACATTAGTTATTTTATTCAATTTATTAACATCAATCAGCTAATTTTACCAAACGCTTTAACACAACTCACTAATGTAATTCGCTGGTCAAAACTGCCAATACAATTCGTTGGTCAAAACAGCTGATGTGATCCGCTAACAGATAACCGCTAACCGCTGATTGTCAAACAAGACCAATATGATTAAACCATATATACAATCCTAATATATATAGGTTCCAATGGTTTATTTTTCGTACAAAAACA